AGAAAAAAAAAAAGAGAGTCAAAGTCAGAAAAGTAACTATATCTAGGTATTTTCTAAGTGGAATATACATGACTCAACTAGAATTTCTACCTCTGGGTAGGATGCAGTAGGATGCAGCAGGTAAACACTTTGGGTAACAACTGGAAAGAGCCAAATAAATTACGAATATCTTATTTTAAATTTTAAAGGCATCAGAAAGTACAGAAACAAGGTATACTAGACAGATTAAAATTCCAGAAAGGGAGAATCAGTCAGAGGTCAGCTGATGGACTGGCAGCTGTTTCTGTCTGTGGGGACATTTGCTGATTCAGGGTGTGAGCTGAAGATCAGAGTTTGGCTTAAGCAAAAGGTCACTGCCAGGAGAATGAGAAATCAGCAACACTTTCATCATTCCACAGGACTAAAATGATAAAACTGGAGATTTGAGAAGCCTCAAACATGGCCAGTTTTTCTCACAAAACTGAATTCTGATGCTATAGAGAAGCTGGAGAGGTAGTGAAATCTCCCAGGCTTGTGGTGCTAGCAGACCAGGATCTGCCAGGGGAAGGGGACCAAAACAAAACAGGCAAAGATGAAGCCCTGGAGGGTGTGGTCAATTTACATTGAGGACTAAGAGCCACTTTTCACCTGGGGTCATCTACCAATTCTGGTCACAGATCTAGGTTGATAATCCAGGTGCGATTTCTGGCAGAAGGTTGCTACTGAGGGACAGAGAAGCCAGCAGAGATTTCGGCATGCATGGCAGCGAGAGTGACAAAAAGATAGAGGATACCTGAAGGATGTCTAACATATAGCCAGTCTCCCGCTCAAAGAATTTGCCAAAGTTTGAAGTGGCAAATGGCAAGTGGAAAAGCACTGAAGGGCTAAACTGAAACTCCCATTGTATTTGAGGGCTAAAAAATTATTTAGGGCTATGAATTATTAGAGATAAAGAAGGGCACTGCATAATGATAAAAGTGGTAACTTGATAAGAGATACAAGAAAAATAAAATCAGAGTGGAAATGTTAATACCTCTCTCAACAGCTGACGGAATAAGTAGACCAAAAAAACTAATAAGAAGAACTGAGCACAATTAAACTTGACCTAACTGACATTCAAAGGACACTGCACTCAACATTAGAAACTGCATTCTTTTCAAGTGAGCATGGAATATTTACCAAATCTGACCATAAAATGGTCATTAAAAAATGCCTCAATAAACTCAGAGGATTGAAATCATTCATAATGTTATCTGACAACAATGGAAGACAGAAACCAATAAAAGATAACTAGAAAAGCATCTGCTGCCTGAAACTAAGCAATATACTTCTAAATAATGCACGATCAATTAAAACGAAATTAGAAAATATTTTCTATTAAATGATAATAAAAAGACACAATATTAACAATTTTGGAGATGCAGGTAAGGTAGTACTTTGATGGAAATTTAGTCTTAAATGCATATAAAAGAAGACTGAAATTTTTCTTATAAAATCCAAATTATAAAGTTAGAAATAAGTAGCAAATAAAACCCAAATAAGTACAAAGGAAAATACTATAGTTACAAGAAAAAACTACTAATACATAAATGTACAATAGAGAAAATCAAAGCCAAAGGTTTTTGAAAAGACTCATAAACTTAAAATCCTAAGACTGATCAAGAATTTGAGAGAAAACAAATTGCCAATCCCATGAATGAAAAAATGGGACAGCCTTTCAGATGCTACAGAAATGAAAATTTGAACATTTGGATCAAAAACTACAGTCTATCAAATAGCTGAGAAAAGCTTAAAAAAAAGTGAAAAGACTGATAAGAAACTAAATCTTGATCCGTATCAAGACAAGCTAAATTATAAGGCATAAGGACTGAAAAGGAAGCAATAAAACTATCATTATTAACAGATTACATTATTGTATATGTAGAAAAATCAAAACAATATAACAATAAACTCTGTTGGCCACGATGGCTCACACCTGTAATCCCAGTAATCTGGGAGGGTGAGGCGGGCGAATTGCTTGCGCCCAGGAGTTTGAGACTAGCCTGGAATATGTAGTGAGACTTTGTCTCTACAAAAAAATTAGCCGGGAATGGTGGTGCATGCCTGTAGTCCCAGCTACTTGGAAGACTGAAGTGGGAGGATCGCTTGAGCCTGGGAAATGGAGGCTGCCATAAGCTGAGATCACGCCACTGCACTCCAGCCTGAGTGACAGGCGAGACCCTGTCTCAAAAACAAATAAATAAATAAACTCTTGCAATAAGTGAATTTAGCAAATCAATAGATACAATGTTAAAAAAATGTAAACACATTTCTACACATATGTACCAGCAACAAATACAAAGCCAAAAAAAATTCTTTTTGGAGACAGAATCTCGCTCTATCGCCCAGGCTGGAGTGCAGTGATGCGATCTCAGCTCACTGCAAGCTCTGCCTCCCAAGTTCACACATTCTCCTGCCTCAGCCTCCCGAGTAGTTGGGATTACAGGTGCCCAACCATCATGCCCGGCTAATTTTCTGTATTTTTAGTAGAGACGGGGTTTCACCGTGTTAGGCAGGATGGTCTTCATCGCCTGACCTCATGATCCGCCCGCCTCAGCCTCCCAAAGTGCTGGGATTACAGGCGTGAGCCACCACGCCCAGCCAAAATCAAAAAATTTTTAAATGCCATTTACAATATCATTAAGAAACATCAACTCCTAGGAATAAATCTAAGGAGAGATTCTGCTGAAATGTATATTACTGGGATATGTTAAATAAGATGCAAATAAATGGAAGTGCATACCAAATTCATAGACTGAGAATCAATACTTCGTAAAAATGTCAAGTCTCTTTAGAGAGCTGTTATACTGTGAATCTCTATAGATTCACTCAGTCTAGATCAAAATCACAGCTTGCAAGACAGGATGGGTATAGGAAGGAAGAGGGAGAATTGAGAAGCTCTTCTAAAATCCGTATAGAAATGCAAAGTAAAGAATAGCCTAGGCAATGCAGATGAAGAAGGAAAAAGCTAGAGTACAATACTAAATAGCAAGACCTATTAAAAAGCTACAGTATTTAGACATGGTGGTGTTGGTACAGACTGTCTACTGTAAAAGAATAGAGACTATAAAAACTGATCCACACGTAAACACAGTCATGTTATTTATGAGAAAAGTGACACTGCCACACAGAGGCAAAAAGACACTCTCTTCAGTAAATGGTACTGGGTCAATTATAATATATATCCACACGAGAAAACGTATCTTGATCACTGCTTCCTAACAAACAAAAACCAATTTCAGATGAACTGCATATATAAATGTGAAAAGTAAAACAGAAACAGTAAAACTTTTAAAATAAAACTTTTAGAGAAACATCTTCAGAACTTGGGAAAGATTTCTTAAATCACAGAGAACACTTACCTTCAAAGGAAAAAACGGATAAACTGGACTATTCAAAAATTTCTGCTTTTCAAAAGACACCAATGAGAGAGAAATAAACTAGAGTAGGAAGACATTTGCAATATATATGCATGTATGTATATATCTGAGAATAATCTCATATTGAAGTATATAAACTATCATTACAAATCAATTAGAAAAAGACAATACTGTTTTTAAAAAAATGCATAACTTGAATATATTTACAAGTGATACAAACTCATCAAAGACAAACAGCTATAAATACACATGTACTTTAATCTAGATGAATCCAAGAACAAGTACCACATACTCTATATTGAATTTTTTTCAAGTATACCCATCAGTTTTAGTTTTTAAGGGCTAAAATTCCTAGAATCAAGTTATTGCTACCAACGTATACAATTTTTCACTTAATTTGTATAACAAACCTGCTTTAGCCTTCTTTTTTGGTTTTTTTGGTTTAGGTTTTGTGTCATCTTGCATGCTGCCTTCTGTGTTTTGTTCCACTGAGCTTATTTCGCCATCTTGATGAGAATCTGAAGAAACTGGTCTAACTGAAGATTCCTTCTTTTGTTCACCTTCAACTGTGTCACCAGAGATGGTCAATGTACTACAAATATAATCCAAGTATCAGCCATTACAGATATATTATTATAATAATTATTATTATTCATGATGCAACAGAGTGAACAGTAAATAGGAGCAAAGATAATCCTAAAATCACTACTATTTTTTCTTGAGATGCATATATTTTCCTACACACTAAAATGGTTAGCTGTCAAATAGGTATCATAGGTTGTAACTTTGCAAGGAGTTACATGATTCAACTAAAACTGAGCTCTAAACCCCAGGGGAAAGGAAATTGTATTAATATTTTATGAGCAATTGATCTCTCTTTACATAGGACTTATCGAAGCACGCCCACCCTGCTGCCAAGTAAATGACTGATCAACCAATTTTTAAATTACCTTATTTAAAAGTATAAAATGTATTCTAGGTTTGTTCAGTCTTCAAGAGGCTTCACAAGCACAACTTTTGATTTCTCTTTTTTCTTTTCTTTTTTTTTTTTTTTACGACTAGGTCTCGCTCTGTCACCCAAGTTGGAGTGCAGTGGTACAATCATAGCTCGCTGCCGCCTCAACCTCCCAGGCTCCAGCAATCCTCCCACTTCTGCCTCCCAAATAGCTGGGACTACAGGCACATGCCACCATGCCTGGCTGATTTTTGTACTTTTTGTAGAGATGGAGTTTCACCATATTGCTCAGGCTGAGACTTCCAGGTAAAAATTAATTCCTTGTATTTTCTAGTGGTTGGTGAGTCACTACATTTTCAGAAGGCTATTACTAAAATTAAAATCTACATCACACGACTAGTAAATGGTAAGAAGTAGCAACCCAGAGGCATACTGAGTTTAAAGAAAAACCAACCTACTAACATTTTAATGTATCAAGTAAAAAAAATCTGCATTTAAATAATAAAAAATTAATTTCCAATATGTTTAGTCACCTTTCCAAAAAAATGGGCTGAGGAAAATAAGACTAGAGAAATATTTCAGTGTGGGCTGGACCTAATGACTTACTTCTAACAGACAGAATATGATAAAAGTAATGAATGCCACTTATAAGATTAGGTTCCAAAAAGACTCTGACTTCTGTCTTGCTCTCACTCTCTCAGAGCCCTTGGTCTGGGGAAGCAAGTGGCCATATTATGAGTAGACCACATGGAGGAAGTCCACGTGGCAAGGAACTGGTATACTTGGCCCAAAGCCAGTCAGGACCTGAGGCCTACCAACAGCCACATGAATGAGCTTAGCACTGGATCTTCTAAGGCCTTCTAACAGCTATGTCACTTGATAGATCCTCCCCAAGTCAAGGCTTAAGGTGACTTCAGTCCTGGCTAACATCCTGATTGCAACCTGTGATTGACAGAGACACCCAGCAAAGTCACTCCCAGATTGCTGGCCCATAGAAACTATGAGACAATAAATGCTTGTCATCCTAAAAGCTGCTAAATTATGGGATAATCTCTTTAATGCATCAACAGATAATACATACTATCATGTCCCTGCAGCAACCTGGTTTGCCATATCTTTATTATCACTGGTCACCTAGCTTTTGAAAAGAGGGGAATTATTTTTGGCTGAGGGTTTTAGGGGAAATTGATCCTGAATGCCAAGGAATAGTCACATATAGAATGTTCCCACTTCAAGCTGTTTCTCTAGAGGAGAACTGCAGGGGGGAACAAAGTTAATTATAGCAGTTAAAAAGCATTTTTATCTTATTGTTTTATCCAAGTAGAGAACATACATATATGTATATGTTCATTTAAACTCATACTCTATATACAAGTACATACATATATAAGCATCATATAGAGAAAAAGATTAGAATAACAAATTGCCAATAGCGATTATCTTTGAATAGTTTTTCTACAATGAGCTAATGTTATTTGTGTAAGAAAAAAAAGCTGTATTTATATATCCAAACAGGTATTTGTAACTCAAAAAAGGGGAAGTAATTAGGTTGCTATTACTTTGAAAGCAGATGTAAGTGAGTAGTTCAGGATAGAGACAAGGTTCTGGCTCAGCCTCTTACTAGTTCTGTACTTCAGTTTCCTCATCAGCAAGATAGGAAGAATATTACTTTTCCTCATAAGATTGTCATAAGAAATAAATGAGTTAATTCTTGTAAAGCACCTAGTACATAGTAAGGTGTTAGTAAAAGCTAGGTGTTCTTATCTTAGTGGCAATGTCTCCAAATAAAAGCCTAAGAATTTTCTTTGTTAAACCACAGATAATATTCAAACCCTGATAATAATAGAGTGTTTTTCTAAGAGGATATTTTACATTTATCAATGTAAAAATACCTTGTTTCAGCTTTAGAGAAGACTGGAACTTTCTTTTTCTTTTTCCTTTTTTCACTGATTGATTTGTCGTCATGGAATAAAGTATCTGAGGGAAAGTAAGTCAACTGTTCTTTCAGTTTTTTTCTTATTTTCTTCTTAATCTCCTTTGCCATTTCTTCAGTTACATGGCGCTGATATGCTTGCATCAGTTCTTCGTCCTCTTCTAAATCATTCTCTTCTCTTCCCTCATTTGCCTTCTCACTTTTCTGATGATCAATGCCTGGCTGTGGCTTTGTATGCGCTTTCTGGTGTGTAGAATCAACTTCCTTTTCAGGAGTTTCCGGTTTCATGTCTTGTGTAGTCAACTGGGGCACCGTCTTTACCACCTTTTTATTTGGCTTTCCTTGTTTGTCTTCCTCTACACTAACATCATCATTAGGATTTTCAGTTGCTGACTGTGTGTTCCTCGATTTGTTTTTAGCAACTCTCATGGTCTTCTTCAGGTTGTTAGTGTTAGTAGCACTTACATCATCACTTGTAGTTTCTTTAATATGGGGAAGATTGCTTCTAACAGTGTCAGGCTAGGAAAAGAAGACATGATAACAAAGTTTCAGTTATGCATAGATTAGTTATATAAAGAAAAACCTAATAATTAATGTTTGACAATGTGGAATTATTGGGAGGATTATTTAGTTTTTCACCTGGACACAGTGATACTATTTTAGAGCATCTGAGTACTCTCATAATTTATGCTTCCAGAATTTGATAAGCAATCTCTGAATGTAACTTCAGATGAAATGAGTTAACTGACATAGGAAAAAAGTACTTAAGGACCTTTAAGAAGTGAATTAATTGCTCAAATCTCAAATGCTATTTTCCTCATACATATTTTTCTCATGATATACACTCTAATATAATTAATAGATACCTGAGAAATTGCTAAAAGAGCCATTGAATTGATATTTCAGGCAACCCAATAGGAAATATACATGGGTCATTTATTTTGCTTCATGATTACACTGCAAAACCAAAAGTCTACAGCTCTAAGATCACCCTACACTAAATCTATCACTAGAATGCTGCTAAATATTACATATTAAGTTAAATCCAGTGACAGCCTAAGCATAGTCTTGTACCTCTTTCCCCAATTAAAGTTATTTATAATGAGATATATTTTTAATACAAAAAAATAAATAAGGATAAGAGTCAAGTAATATAAGGAGGAGGAGGGCATAAACTAGATAGACCAAAGGATGACCAATCAAGGAGCTGGGATGAACAGCTCTGCTTCCCATCTCCGTTTGTGCTGACTTTCACCCATGGATTAAGCATGGCAGCACAGAGAGAAAGGGCAGTATACTTCAGGTAGGTACAATTCCCACAAACTGCAGAGGCAGACCA